TGGGGTAGCTCTCACACAGCAACAGATAACCAAACAGTCTGTAACTGGATTTGAGGGACTCCAAGTCTATTTTATTTCTACTTTTGGGGGGCGCCTGGGTGGCTCAGTCAGTTAAGCAACTGACTTCGGCTCAGGTCATGACTTCCTGGGTTGTGGGTTTGAGCCCACATCAGGCTCTGTGTTGACAGCTCGGAGCCTGCAGCCTGCTTCGGATTCTGTGTCTCCCTCCCTCTGCCCCTCCTGAGCTCGCACTGTCTCTCTCTCAAAAATTAATAAACATTAAAAAATTTTTAAGATTTTATTTGTATTTTTTATTATTTTTAGTCTATTTTTTTATTTTGACAAAGGGAGAGAGAGAGAGAGAGAGAGAGAGAGAGCAAGCACACAAGCAGGAGAGGGGCAGAGAGAGAAAATTCTAAGCAGGCTCCGCACTGTCAGCGTAGAGCCCAATGCGGGGCTCGATCTCACAAACCCAGACCTTAAATCGAGAGTCAGATGCTTAACTGACTGATCCACCCAGGTACCCCTCCAATTCTATTTTAAGCTCACTGGGAAACTGACACTGTAAGGGTATCCTATAAGGCAAAATTTACTACATTTATCAATTTAACTTACCAATTTTTATACACCTACTTCCTTAAGATAGGATCTATACATACATATCAGTTTGAACCTTATGAAGCTACATGTATTTGGGTGTTTAATATTTTTTTAAAATCATCTTTACACCTAACATGGCACTTGAACTCACAACCCCGAGATCAAGAGTCGCATGTTCCACCAAATGAGGTAGCCAGGTGCCCCAGTATTTGGAGTTTTTTAACCCACTAGAACAGTTTGTTTGGGTTCAACCTAATAAAATCAATCGAGTTTTGTTTTTGTTTTTTTAATTTGCATCCAAGTTAGTTAGCATATAGTGCAACAATGATGTCAGGAGTAGATTCCTTAATACCCCTTACCTGTTTAGCCCATCCCCCCTCCCACAACCCCTCCAGTAACCCTCTGTTTGTTCTCCATATTTAAGAGTCTCTTCTGTTTCGTCCCCCTGCCTGTTTTTATATTATTTTTGCTTCCCTTCCCTTGTGTTCATCTGTTCTGTGTCTTAAAGTCCTCATATGAGTGAAGTCATGATATTTGTCTTTCTCTGACTGATTTCACTTAGCATAACACCCTCTAGTTCCATCCACATAGTTGCAAATGGCAAGAGTTCATTCTTTTTGATTGCCAAGGAACACTCCATTATATACATATACCGCATCTTCTTTATCCATTCATCCATTGATGGACATTTGGGCTCTTTCCATACTTTGGCTATTGTCGACAGTGCTGCTATAAACATGGGGGTGCATCTGCCCCCTTTGAAACAGCACACCTGTATCCCTTGGATAAATACCTAGTAGTGCAATTGCTGGGTCATAGGTCATTTTCTATTTAAAATCAAATGAGTTTTAAACAAATCGTAAACCATGATATTAACATTCAATTTGGTGTGTTTTTTTTAACCCCTGATTGGCACTGTGAGCTTGAGTGGGTTAAATAACATTAAAAGGTACAACACTAGGGATGCCCAGGCAGCTAAGTGTCCAACTCTTGATTTCCGCTCAGGTCATGATCTCATAGCGTACAGCCTGCTCAAGATCCTCTCTCTCCCTCTCCCTCTGACCTTCCTCTACTCACAGGCACACTCTCTCACACTCTCAGAAAAAAAAGAAAAAAAAAAGATACAACACTAGAAGCCATGATATCTCATTCTCTATACTTTATTCTTCTCTAAGACTCTAGGGCATAATTCTGCTCTAAGGCCAGGGAAATGAAAATGTATTCATAATTACATGAGATATTTTACTTATTTATTAAATTTTGTAAGTAATCTCTATTCCCAATGTGAGGCGTGAACTCACAACCCTGAGATCAAGAGTCACATGCTCTACCGACTGAACCAGCCAGGTACCCTGACAATCAGGTATTTTAATTCAGCTCATTTCTGACAAGCCCAAAGAGCTTCTGAGCAACCACATCTTTGTTCAATATAGAAGATACAAATAAATTAGTTCCATTTTATTTATAGTGGAGAAAAGGACACAGAAAGGTTGGATAACTTGACTAGCATCCAGCAAAAACCAATAAAGGTTTGGATCCTTCAAGTTGCTTATTCTCTACTTATTCCAACAGCCTTATCTTTTGATTTATCATTTTTAATTAAATAATTATTTATTTATTTTTAAGTAGGATCTATGGTCAATATGGGGCTTGAATTCACAATGCTGAGATCAAGAATCACATGTTTTACCCACTGAGCCCAGCCAGGCACCCCCAGCCTTATCTTTTTATAAAGTAAGATAGAACATCAGTACCTGGCAGTGTGATGTTGGCAAAAATAGGCTGTCCATCAACATTGAGAGATGGCACAAATAGTTCAGTTTGGTTAACCAGAAGTCCATCATATGTCCCTGCATCTCGGAAAAGCCAAAGGTGACCTGTTAAAACAAGAAGAGGCTGTTATGTAGCCACACACCCATTTCCTTCATCTTCCTGGATTGACCCTGAAGTCCTTGCCTCCCACGCTACTTAAATATCTTACTAAGCCCTCCCAGTAATATTACCTTACTCAGTCCTCACAACAGATCTATTTACAGATGAGCAAATAGATCTGAAAAAGCCAAGTGACTTGCTCAAGGCAACGAGGACAGTAAGGGAAAAAGAGCAGATACTTGAGGCTTCAAATACAGCACCCTTTCTGCTACCATGGTCAAAAAGCAAATACATGCATTGCGAATCACACCCAACACTGCAAACTAAAAGAACTTCACCAACTCTTTACATCTGTGCTTCTCAAGAACAAGAAGATGCAAAAAGATCATGTTCAGAAAAGGAAGCCACACAGAAAAGGGTACATTCTGTATGAATAGACCAAACTAATTTATGGTGTGAAAAATCAAAAGAATGGTTGCCTCTGAAAGGGAGGGGACTGAGTGGAAAGGGGCAGGAAGGAACTTCCGGGAGTGATGGAAATGTTTTAACCTATAGTTTGATCTAGGTGTCGTATTTGTCAAAAACGCATCAATCTCTAAGATCTGTGTGTTTTACTGTATGTAAGGTATACGTGAATTTAGAAACAAATACATCATATGCAAAAAGAGAGAGAGACAAAGACAGAGAGAGAGAGAGAGAGAGGAAGAAGGCAACCCCCCCCCCTTCCCCAGGACTAACATTCTGTTTAAGGCAGGTGGAAAGCATGTCTGAATGTGTTCCTGGGACACAAATGTACTTGAAGATTTGGTGGGAAATTTTAAGAAATGTAAACTGGTAAAAAAAAATTTTATTATAGTAAAACTTACATAAAATTGACCATTTTAACCATTTTAAGTGTACTGTTCAGTGCCATTAAGTACATTCACACAGTAAGTCATTTTTTTTTATTGTTTATTTATTTTTGAAAGGCAGAGAGACGGAGTGTGAGTGGGGGAGGGGCAGAGAGAGAGGGAGACACAGAACTTGAGGCAGGCTCCAGGCTCTGAGCTGTCAGCACAGAGCCTGATGCGGGGCTTGAACCCACGGACTGCGAGATCATGACCTGAGCTGGGAGTGGGATGCTTAACCTACTGAGCCAACCGGGCGCCCCTCATGGTAGGTAATTTTTAAAAAGTTTATATTAAGGGGCGCCTGGGTGGTCCAGTCAGTTGAGGGGCAGACTCTAGGTTTTGTTGGCTCAGGTCATGGTCTGCCCCTCTCTCTCTCCGCCCCCTTTCTCAAAATAAATAAAACTTAAAAAAAAAAAAGAAAAAAAGATTCTCTAAAAAAAAATTTATGTTAACTCAAGCACAGATAAATTTTGGATGAAAAAAACAAAATTTCACACAATTTCCTAGATAAAATAGAAGACTACAGAAATGTTGATCCCTGGAAGAACTATGTTCTCCCTCCTTTAATATCAGGGGAAGTTTGGAGTAAAGGTCTGAGAAACATTACCGCGTACTCTCAAGGCAAAACGATCCATTGGAAAGCTGTCCTTAACTGAAACTTACACACCCCTTCCCTTCACTAAGCTAGGTGCCTGCTCCAAGCTCCCACGGGCCGCTGTGCTCCGTTCCTCCTGCAGCAACTGTGACACTGGCTTGTTCTCATCTGTTTATGCATGCATCTGTCTCCCCGACTGGACTGTGTTCTCCATGAAGGGCAGGGACCTAACGCGCACCTGGTCCACTGGGGACACTCGGGAGTGTGAGATTCTCTCAGAGACGTAATGAACAAACGGGCATTAGGTACGGAGCACTTTTAGGGTTAAATATACGTGTAAGGGGGAAAAGCCACCTCCGATACAAATTACTCAGTCCTATAAGAAAGAATTGGCTACCACCTAGTAGCAGCGTCAACCTGGATCTGTCACAACCTCTCTGGGGCACCAGCAGGCGTTCGCGGCGCCCCGGGACAAAGCAGGAGGCGCGGCCGGGCTGGGCCGGCCCGGGCCAGGGCGACCCCGGCTCACCTACCTCGGTAGCTATGGATGCGGCGGCCCGTGCCGGGCGGCAGCGTCGGGTACGGCTGCGGCTCGCCGTCGAAGTTGAGCCACACCGGCAGCACGACGCGCGGACTGCGGTTGCAGAAGATGACCTGAGACGGCTCGCAAGAGTTCACTGAGCGTAGCACCGGTCGCGGCTGCCCAGCCTCCATCTCCTCCTCGGCTCCCGGCTCTTCGGGGTCAGACTCTTCCGGGCCAGACTCCTCGGCGCCCGACTCCTCCCCGCCGTACTCTTCAGCGCCCACCTCCTCCGCGTCCACCTCCTCCACACCGGCCTCGGCCTCTTCCAAGTTCCCTGCCTTCCGGGGCATTACCTCCCGGAGCCTAGACAACCCGGGCCTCGCCGCCTCGGGATTTGTGGGGCCGTACGGGGTGGGGCGTGGCGCGCGTGCGTGCGCGTCCCCGCAAGCGTGCGTGCTGTTTCTGCGCGCTCTCGGTCGGTTGTGGAAGATGCTCGCAGAAATGGCCGGCTTGAGACTGTGCGCAAGCGCAGGTGGAACCTCCAGCCACAGGAACCGAGCATTCAGGAGGCAGAGGCTGACGCTGAGCCACCTCGTCCACGGTTTCTTCTGTAAAGTGGATTCTTTTTTCGCACCGATAAGTTTTTGACACAGCATTTCCTTAGCTTCATTTATTCTAAGACCTTCATGGTTTTTGCCATATTCTCCCTACCAAATGCGCTATTATTTATTTAATAATTTTCTCGTTTGTTTTGTCTCCATCTTCGGTCACAAAATTCGAATTTTGTGTAGAAGAATATAATAAAGTCAAAATGTCCGTCTCCTCCTAGTTTCCCCCAGCCACCCATAAAGACTCCGCGGAGAAAAGAAGTATTACCAGTTTTTGTGCTTCCTTTAAAAAAAAATTTTTTTTTAACATTTATTTATTTTTGAGAGAGAGGGAGACACAGGATCCGAAGCAGGCTCCAGGCTCCGAGCTGTCAGCACAGAGCCTGATGCGGGGCTCAAACCCACGAACCTTGAGGTGAGATCATGACCTGAATCTGGCGCTCAATCGACTGAGCCACCCAGGTGCCCCTTTGTGCTTCCTTTTAAAGGTATTCTGTACATATGCAAAGCAGTTGAACAAGTTTAAGAAATTTTATATTACTACTATCAGTGGAAATTCGCTCTCATTTGCCACGTAAGAGTACAGTGGGACTAAGTTAAATGAAAACAAAACAGTTAAATTTTATCTATAGTCTGTTAAAAGCTCTCAGCCTGCTCTTTCTTGGTTCGACGGGTTAGCCAAGGGTTAGATGTTAAGCACCAAGTATTAGCTGTGAAACCAACTTTGTCCTGGACGTAATCAAAAGGATTAACGGAAATTGAAAATGGGATAATATTTGATACTGCAGTCTATGTGCGATTTGAAATTCACATCCACCTGGGTTCTCATTCCAGGTGTAGCTTCAGATATGTGATGTTGGGCAGAATTCTTTAAATTCTCTGAGACCTTGCTCATTTTTAAAAAGTATGTCCCAGGGGCGCCCGGGTGGCACAGTCATGATCTCAAGGGTTCCTGAGTTTGAGCCCCACATTGGGCTATGCACTGATTGATGGTGCAGAGCCTGCTTGGGATTCTCTCTTCTCTGTGCCCCTCCCCGACTTGTGCTCACTCTCTCTCTCTCTCTAAATAAATAAATTTTATTATATATATATAGTCCCCTAACCAAGTGTTGAGGGGGAAGTGGTGTCTAGTACATAGTAAGCACTCAGAGCAATTCTCAGCAGTTAATATTATAAATTAAACACATTGTCTCAGTCCTGAAAATGTTCACAGGCTACTGGGCAAGCATACAAGACATGCTGTTAGAATATGATAATGATTGTAGAAGAGCAAGGTGTAAAGTCGTTTGCTGGACCTGAAAAATTCAGGCAAGGCTTCCCAGGAGTTTTATCTGGGATGAACTTTGAAGAATAGAGCTAAAAGTTTTCCCTTCCCATTTATCATCAGACAAATACCCACCTAGGATGTCAGATAAGGGCTCATTGGCAGACTTCCCAATCCAGTTTTCTTCTCATTGGTTTTATATCCTGCCTCTAAGTCCAGGACTCCGACAGTCCTACCACTTACTGAAAATCCATTTGGAGGCCCAAGCCAAAGAGAGACATATATTTATGCTCATAGACCAACACTATGGCCCTAACATTTAAAAGAAATGGCAGAGGGAGAATGGACAAATAAAAATGTTTTGTTTGGCTATACTCCTGGGCAGCTGTTCTCAACCAAATCTGCAAAAGCAGAAGAGGTTTTGATTTGTGATTTTAGATGTATGATGACCCATTGGAACAACTTCATTCCAGTTTCTTCAATTGCCTGACAAGAAAGACTGATGCAAAATTCTCCACAAACCATACTGGAAAATGGCAACCCTATCAAAATGAGAGGAGGCTTATTTAGAACTTGGAAATGAATAAAAATGCACGGGGCGGGGGGGGCACCTGGGTGGCTCAGTCAGTTGAGTGTTTAACTTCTGCTCAGGTTATGATCTCACAGTTCGTGGGTTTGAGCACCGTTTCAGGTTGTGTGCTGACAGCTCAGAGCCTGGAGCCTGCTTCAGATTCTGTGTCTCCCTCTCTCTCTCTGCCCCTCCCTCACTCATTTCTCTCTCTCAAAATAATAAACATTAAAAAATTTAAAAATACAGGGGGAAAAGCTATCAAATTTTATGTATAGTGTGGTGACCTTTATGCAGTTATTCCCCCACCCCCATTTTTTAGAATATAGTTTTATTACCTTTGTAATGAAAACTAAATCAGTTCCTTTTTCCCCCAGTCTTGAGATATAATTGACCCAAATCAATTCTTTTTTTTTTTTTTAATACTTTTTATTTTTAAGTAATCTCTACATCCAACATGGGGCTTGAACTCATGACCCCGAGATCGAGTTACATGGTTTTCTGCCACCCCTGGGTGGCTCAGTTAAACCTCTGACTTCAGCTCAGGCCATGATCTCGCAGTTTGTGAGTTCAAGTCCTGCAATGGGCTCTGTGCTGACAGTTCAGAGCCTGGAGCCTGCTTTGGATTCTGTCTCCCTCTCTCTCTGCCCCTCCCACGCTTGCACTCCATGTCTCTCTCCCTCTCAAAAAATAAAACATTTACATATAAATGTTTTATTTTTAAAAATTGGAAGCATGTATAAGGGTGTGCAGACGGTGGTCAGAGGAGTGTGCTGGATTAGAGGTTCATCATCTGCCTTGTTGAAAATGATGGCAAGAGTCCCATCCAAGGAGTCAGGCAAATCTACAAAGGAACACCAGAACCTTGGGTGATTTTGCCATGGAGTTTCCTTGAAAGTACATTATACAAAGTATCCTGATGGCTTCCAGCAGGAAGAGTGGCCAGCAGGGATGACCTCCAGCTATATTGAACATCAACATGGAAACATTTGTGGAGGAAAACCCCAAGGAAAGATAGGACTTCCTGTTAAATTACAATGGTTCAGAGACATCAAAATTTACAAGATTCATTCCAACATACCCTCATTTGTACTTCCAGGTTAGTAAAGTGAAACATACCAGTTTAATAATATTACAGAAATGCCTACATCCGTAAAATGAGAGCAGTTATTTAAATGCAAGGCTTAAGACTGATATTACATCATTGCAAATAATTACAAAGACTATTTAAGAGGAAGGAAAACATGTTTTAGGATATACCAAGGAAAACTAGAGGCTATATTGTTCTTACATTACACTTTCCACTATGCAAAAGCAAACATGAAGAAAGGAATAGAAGAAAATACACCTAAATATTTTAATATAACTGGTTATTTCTCTCCCCTTCTACTTTAATGTCTTTTATAAATTTTCCTTTAGAAGGATACATTCTGCCTTGTTTATATTTTGACCAATTAGAAAATACAAAGAAGTACAAATAATAAAGCAAACACTGATAATCTCACCGTACAAATTCAACAGTATGTTATCATATTTACTTTTTTATTTTTTCAACAAAACATATGATGAAGCTAAAATCCCCTTTAACATCCACTCTGGTCCCATTTCCCTCCTTCCTCCCCAGGAGCAATAACTATCTCAAGTTGGACGTGTATCTATTCAGGCTCTTTTCCCCCCTAAATTTATTTTAAATTTACATATAGAATTCACATTTTGGTGTATAGATCCAAGTTTTGACAAAACAGTCACGTAACCATTACCACAGCTAAGATATAGAGTATCTCATCACCCCCAAAAGATGCTGTGACCAACCTCTACCTGTAGGCCTAAGCCTTGACAACCACTGATCTGTCTTCTGTCCCTCGTGTTGCTTTTCCCACAATGTCATGTAATGGAATCACGCAGTTCATAGCCTTTTGAGCCTGGCTTTTTACTTGGCATAATCAATTTGAGATTCATCCATGTTGTATCAACAGCTTATTCCTTCTCATTGCCAAATGGTATTCCGCCATCCACTCACTAACTGAAGGACACTGAGTTGTTCCCAGTTTTCAGCAATCATGAACAAAGCTGCTATAAATATTTGCATACAGGTTGTTTTGTGTGTGTGTGAACGTAAGTTTTCACTTGTCCTAAGTGAGAATCATCTAGGAGTGAAATCATTGGGTCACACGGGAAGTGTGTTTTCCCGCAGTGGCTCTATCACTGCATTCTCACCAGCAACGCAGGCAGACGTGTTCCAGTTGCTCCACATCCTCGCCTGCACTTGGTATTAGTTTTTTTGTTATTTTAAAGTTTTAGCTCTTCTAATAGATCGTATAGTGGGAATTCACTAAGGTTTTAATTTGTGTTTCCCAGTGACTGGCAATGTTGAGTATCTTTTCATGAGCTTATTTGCCATCGTTTTGTCTCTGAAGCCCTTTGAACATTTATTCGATTTTTTATTGATGAATTTTGATAGTTCTTTTATCCAGGCCAATTTTTAGTGCTTCTCATACACTTATGCGTACCTATAATCTATATGCAGTATCGTATGACTATCACAGGTGTTTAAAAAAAACAAACAACTAAAACTAAAGTAACCAAATAACAGAAAAACTTGATTCTGACAAATAAAACTTTAGCCAATGCTATCTTTCCTATTTAATAAAGTTGATACTGCATTGTTCCTCTATGTTCTTTTTTTCCTGAGTTTTTAAATGAAATGTCATTTTGGTATCCTCTGGGTTGTTCGGGAAAATACCAGTGAACCATGACTACATTATACTCTCTAAGAGCAGGATCTATATGTCTGTTTCTCACCATTTTATCTCCAGTGCCTTACGCACAGGAGACATACAATGTATTTGATGCTAATAAACAACTTCTTAGGCATAGTGTTTGTCAAAGCCAAACTGAATTACTTATTGAATTAAACATTTTCCTTTTAAAAA